GGATGGAAATGGGTGCCCCGCCATCAACCTCTGCTTCTGCCGCCCGCCCCTCGTCGTCCCACTATATCGAGAGCAATGGGGAGGCGGTGGTACATATAATATACAGGTAGACAATCAATGAGACATATAAAGATTTAGCGAACGATTTGGGCCGAAAAGTGCAGAACTACGTAAAGGTGCGGGTGGGCGGGTACAAAAGACGAACAACGCGCTGGCGAGGACAGAAGCAGCGCGCGTGAGTACTACGCTCCCAACAATTAAACGGGCAGACGAACCTGGCGAGGACAGAGGCAGCGCACGAGGGGAGGCGTCGAGCCTCCCTGCTGACCTTTATCCTCGCCCGCGAGCAGTTCTCCAAGCCAGGCCCCTCAGCAGCTAACAGCTGCAGGCCTGGCCGGTACCCGCGACGGACGTGCCGATTCGGTATAGACCGTGCGCGCACAAATGCGGGCGCTGAGACACGGCCCGCCGAGGGGACGCGACCCAAGGCACGGAGCATCAGCTGCCGCAGGCATTCGCGCAATGCGGGCTGGATGTTGTACGCGTCGAGCGTCGAACGCGCCGCTCGCACCCGAAGCGTCGGGATGAGCTGAGAAAGGCGGGAGAGCGCGCGCGCGCGGCGCGCGGCATCGCGGTAGGAGGGAACCGGCGCCGTTCGCCGATTAGACTCATGTAAACCCATTTAAATCCGACTAATCGGCCTGACCGGCAATTGATGGTTCGGACATGGGGTGAGTACGCCAAAACGGCGCCCGGCGGCGCCACGATGCATTGCTGGAGAAGGACCTGGGAAACCTGCGAGACTGGCCGTAATGGAGGTAATGATCTGCGAGGAGGAGGAAGGGAGGCTGGTGGTCGAGGAGAGAGAAAAAACCCAGTCGAAGCGGATTACTCGGTGGCAATCGTATTCCGCGTGCGCGCCATGATGAGCGCGTGGAGGAGCGCGGGATGCTTTCGAATGTACATCTTGAAAGCGTCACTAGACCAGCGACCGAGGCCTTGAATCCTGTCGTCGGGCATGCCTTCGATGGCGAAGAAAGTTGCACCGCCTGGGCGCATAGAGTGTCCACCGACATCGGAGCTCGGGAAGAAGCGACGGAGCCTGTCTCGAAACCAGGAACGCGTCGGAACGCGCCCATTCGCGAGTAGCCAGAGCTGAGGGCAGAGAGCGAAGACCTGGCGGTCGCGCACTGCAAGGTAGTTCTTCATGGCGGTGTATGCATCAGGGCCCTCGCGACGGCGTACGATGTGGACAGTGTTGCCCTCGAAAAGGGGATCTGCCTTGTGCGTAGGCAGGAAATAACTGAAGGAGGTCCCGTTTCCCGCAAACTTGACCGACGAGCGTCGTATGGTCTTGCGTGGGTTGCGGAGATCGGGCCGGTCATGGTCAACGAGCTCGCCCAGCCGGTGGAGACCGAAGAACCCGACGAAGAGCATCGCTACGAAGAGCTTGTCTTCGTAGGATGGTCCAGACTCGGCAGAGACACGAGCAAGGTCATCGACAGTGAGCGCAGTGGCTCTCTCGGGCGGCGAGCTGTAGAGCCTCTTGCAGCCGCGGAGGGTTCGTCGCACCAAGGCAGATTGCCGATTTTTTCGCACATCCGGATAATAGGTTTCCAAGATATTGCAGACACCAGATAGATAAGAGTCGACAGACGTAGGCTTAATGTAATGAGACATATACACAACGAAAAAGGAGAGGGTGTCGGGTGTCGGGTCTATCGGCAGCTCGTGACGCTTGGTGAAAGATAAATACGAACGGGTACTAGACGAGTATGTGAGGACCGTCGACAAGTCGATGGATGCGCCGAGCGCGCGGGCCCGTTCCTGCTCGAGGCGCATAAGAGACCAGCGCGGTCGTTCCGGCTGGCGAGAGCGCGAAGCGAGGTCGGCTAGCATGCCGCCGTGCCCAGATGGAGCCATGTCGCCGGTTCCAGGTGATAAATCTTCAAGCCGGGATGCAGCGCGTATGCAACATCAAGAAGCCCGCGCGATAAACCGTCGGCGACACCGTTCTCAACCCCGGGGACGTGAACGACACGCAAGTCGACCCGAGACTGCAGCAGCAAGCGAGCGGCTAGGAGGAGGATATCGTTATAGGCGTTGTAAGCCTTGAAAGAGTTGAATATCTGGACCGTGTTGAGGTTATCGGTGTAGATAGCCAGACGGCGGGGTGGAGAGGGGAGGCGGACCGCCCAGGCGAGGGCGCGTAGCACACATATAGCCTCGTGCCAAAAGATCGTTTCAGGGGCGGCGGTGTCAGCTGGCGCAGCTGAGAGAGCGCCCGCAAACCCCTGATGACGTTGCGGGCACCAAAATCCTAAACCGGATAGCGAAGCGTCGCAAAACACGGTTAGATCGGCATCTTGAGGTGCCCACAGCCGAGCGTCGGCGACATGGAGGCCGTCCCATTCGCGGAACGAGTCGGCGAACCACGCGAAATCGCGTTTGACAGCCGCGTTGAGGTAGATGCGAGCGTTGCGCTGCGTCTTGCCCCGTATCTTGTCCCATCCCGGCGATAACGCGGGGCGAAGGAGGGGTGCGACACTCAGGGCCCAGTTCATCCAGCCGAGCATGCGCTCCCAATCAACGAGGCGTCGCTGGCGGAAGGGAGCATTTTCTGATATGAACATGAAAACGGCGTCAACCAAATCGATGCGCTTGTCGTCGTTGAGCCTGAGCGTCAGGTTGACCGAATCGACTTCGAGTCCGGTGACATCAAGGGAGCGCCCGTATTCCTGTTTAGGCTTATCGTGAGGGATGCCGAGGAAGTCCCATAGGCGTAGAAGGGCGGCTTGCTTGGGCGGGTAGTATGAGTTGTAGGGTTGGTAGTACTCGAGCTCTTCCGAGTCGTCGAAGCCGAAGTTATCGTCCATGTACGCGAGAAGACCCTCAATCGCGTGCATCTTGACGGCGATCCAGACGACTAAGGACATGAACGAGCAGAAAACGGTGCCCGAGCCGCGCCCGCCGAAATTGACACAGCGATCAACAGATCGGTCGCCATCGATTGTGACGACCTGTCGAAGCTGAGCGAGAGGGTGGACAGGGAGACGACGGTAAGCTTGAGACACGTCGGACTTGAAGATCCAAACAGGCTTTTTGCCGAAGCGTCGGCGATGAGTGAGCATGTTGCGTAGGAGGTCCCGGACTGTATCGAGCTTGACGTGCACGTCGTGCTTGGGTATGAACGAGTTGGGCGAGAAATTTCCGGAGGAGTGGTCGACAACGAGGCGGAATTTGTTTGAGTGAGGTTTGGGGACGACATGAACCGGGACGTTGATCATGCCAGGAAGGAGCTCCGGGAAAGATGGCGAGAAGCGATGTAGCGCGCGCTCCTCGTCACGCTGCTCCTTAGCAAACGCGAGGTGAGCGGGTTCAAGGTCACGCTCAGGATGATCGCGGATGAGGGGGCGATCCAGATCGCCGTCGATATACGGCCAGAAACCCTCTCGAAGACCACGTATAACAGATTGAACATAAGGTTGATTTGGGTGCGAGGATAATGAGGACTCGAAGTTTTTAATGTTTATCGGAGTAACAACGGCGAAGAGATGAGGATGCGAGGCGAGAGTCGTGTTTGCAATCGGGTCGTTTAGAACAGACAGAGGTGGAGAAGGGACGGGTTGCGCCGTCTCGGTCCAGGTAGCTAGTGGAGTAACATATGAATCAAGGAACGGGTCTTCCTCCCAGAGGAAACCGCGATTCAGGCGCGGACCGACCAGCGGCGGGCCCAAACTCCGAGTCGACTGAACAGGATCACTTCTTGGCTTTGGAAGTACAGTCGACGAGGGCGTGAGTAGCCGACTTGCAGTTGGAGCAGACGTGCCGGTAGTTGCAGTTGTGGGGCCGCGAGCACTGCCCGGCATTCCAGCGATTGCAAGTTTCGTCGGACCTGGAACGGCCACCGCCCGAGCCCGAAGCGACTCCGCCGATGCGCGACTCGAGGTTGCTTGCCTTGCGAGCAGAGCCTCCCGAAGACGTGCTTCCTCCGCTAGGCCTGTTGATGTAGCGGAGGTGGATGCCCTTATAAGCGTCGAAGTCCCCGAGGTAGACGTCGTTACGGCTGGCGGCGTGAACTCGGACGGCAGAATCGTATAAGATGACTGATCCGGCGGCGTGAGAGATAGAGATGAAGAGCTCGGTGATGTGGCTCTCGTAGGCGGCGAGCTCGCTCTCGCGATGGGGGTACGCGAAAGAGACCGCTCGTTTGTAAGATTGCCAGGCGATGGCCCACTCAGCGTGCGAGGTGATGGGCCGCGAAGACCTGCTGCTAGTCTTCTCGAGGAGGAGCTCCATGTCGCCGTGCTTGGAGATGGTTTCGCGACTTTCTCCGTGGGTGGCGTAGACCGCGGCGAAAACCTTGGCAAAGTCGACATACTTGTTGCAAAGGACGTCCTTCCAGAGCGAGTTGGGGAACGATGGCGCATTGAGGTCGCAGGCGAGCAGGTTGAGTGAGGACGTGGTGTCGGAGAGGTAGTTGAGCTTGAGCCGAAGTGTCGAATGGAGGAATGCCGCGAAGGGGCTTTGCTGGACGTAGACGTTCCCCCGAAAGGAACCCACGGCGCCGTCAGCAGGCGGCCCAAACGGGACGAGGTCCGCGTTAAAAGCCCGTCGCGCAATCCCTTCGCCCTCGTCACCCGGAGACCGAGCACGCTTGCCCGCGCGCGGGAAAGGGAACCCATCGCGACCACCACCATGCCCTCCGAAGTCACCGTCATCGGACGGCGGACCACCGCCTGGGCCCGGGGCACCGTGCCCGCGACCGAGGCGGCGGTCATCAGGAGGAGGCGACGGGCTGGACGAGCCACGGTTCTGAGGACCTCCGGCGGGCGATTTCTCCCTCATACGTCCTCCGTTCTTATCGATAGCGTCGTTCGTACGGCGAGTATCTTCGAGTTGCTGCGTGAAGTTCTCGAAGAGCGCATCAATAGAGGCTTCTGAGACACCTTGAACGTTCACGACAGCCCCACGTATGATGTCGCCAGCCCGACGCAAAGCGGCAGCAAAAGAGAGCTCGTTGCGGTTGAACTGGTCGATGACCTTATCGAGTAGCTCCGTGATGCTAGCTTGGAGGGCCTCGTCGAGCGGCGCATAAGCGGGTTGCTGATCTCCACCTTCAGACATTGATTCGATAGATGGGAATGTATATGACTAAGATACAAAAGACGAACAACGCGCTGGCGAGGACAGAAGCAGCGCGCGTGAGTACTACGCTCCCAACAATTAAACGGGCAGA